TATATATATATATATATATATATATATATATATATAAACACGCGGCTTTGCTTTTATTGAATAAACAAAACCAGCTCAGCACTGCACTGCACTCAAAGGAAACTCGGCTTACATACAACAAATTCAAGTTTGCATTTCTGCAAGTCAAGGAAAGCTGAACATGAAAAAAAAATGAAGAGCTACAGCACTGGCAAAGTTTCCGTTGCATGCAATACGTATAAGCCCAAACAAGAGCAAAATAATATATATATATATATATATATATATATATATATATAGAGCTGCAGTGTGTGGTTTCTTACTGAAGTGCTTATCGACGCAGACGCGGCTATCACACTTGTTCTTTATGTGGCTCATGAAAGAGGGATAAGCAACGGCCTTAACATCCTCCAGCAGCCCGTGGTGAGCCAGCACGAGAGCCGGCGAAGCACAGATAGCTGCAATCCATCGACCTGCTGCGTGCTGCGCCTTCAGCAGCGACGTTAGGTGTGGGCAGTCGCGGCAGTTCTCCGCCCCCTTAAGCCCTGAACACCACAACAAGCAACCAAACCCCAGCCAACAAACATACACCAGCTTGTATACTCCAAGCTCCCCTTCATGCATGCATGCATGCATGCATGCAGATAGCAGGAGAAAGGCAGCCTGGGTGCCTCTCTGCTGCTGTCTACTGTATGGGTTTCCACACACCGCCAGGAATAACAATAACGTCGTAGTGATCGGACTCGGAGACGTCCTTGAGCGGCATCTCTCCTTCGATGCGGAGGCCCTGTGCTGTCTTTACAATAAGCGAGTCACCGAGGCTGGCCACGACAACCTTTACGCCTGTAAGAAAGAAGAAAGCAGAAAGCAAGAGATGAAGCAGATGCATGCAACCACGCGGTTGTGGGGGTATTGCTACACTTGTACATACACCCCAAATCGAGCACGCAGCAGCGCACACACACACACGCATTCATCAGGTGTATATACACCCCACCTACCTGCTCGACGCAGAATGTCAACAGGGGCTGTGAACTCCACGTCTTCGGCGCCATTGGCCTGCAGCAGCAACAGAAGCAGAAACAGCAGGTGTATAAGTACCCGTAAAGAACTAAGCTGGATCGAGAACAGCTGCAGCACGGCTAGGGGGGCCCCGCCACACCACCGCGACGCCCCCAGAGATGATGAAGCACACACGGTGTCTGTTGAGCTGCTTCTGCTGTTTTATTGAGAAGAAGTCGAGGCCATAACAAACAAAAAAAGACAGCAAAAATATAAAGCTCCATCGGAGCTGTGCAGACACCGCGTGTGCATATGCAGCAGTAGGCGAGAGAGCGGCAGCAGATTTCAGGAAAGGATGATGCGCGGGACGAAACAGAAACGAAAAGTTTTTAATTGAAATAATGTGAACTCACGAGAACAACGAGGGCTGTCTTGGTCATTGTGCTAGACGCTGAGGAGAGCAGGGGGCGATGGTGTTGTTGTATGCAAGGTGATCTGAGTGAGGAAGGAAGCGCTGTAGCAAGTGGAAAGTTAATGTTATTCCGTTTATTAGAATTGTTTATAGAATTAAAATATAAATATAATTGTGGTTTTGAGTCAGAGAGGATACCAACGCCACCAGCACCGACGAAGAACGCCCCCGGCCTGCTGTTTGCAAGTTTCCGCGATGCAGCTTTCCCTAAGGATCGTGCGGCAGCAGGCAGCTGAAAACACGAAAAAAAAAATTCGTTTTTTTTCGCTAAAACTCGAGATATTGTCATTTCATTCATGAAAATTAAGTTTCATTCAAAAGAAAATAAAAAAAAACGAAAAAAATGATGATTCTTTACCTGGGTTTCGGTGAGGCTGTACAACACCAACAGGAACAACACGAGCACAGAGCACGTGCTGCAGCGCCCCATCAGCAGCTCAAGGATACAATGATGGAATTAATTTATTTTTTTTTATTTTTAAATATAAATATATTTCTCGTGATATTCCACACACAACATAAACAACAACAACTGCACACACAGGCATGCGGTGCGGTGAAACTCTCCGCGGCTGAGGTGTATAGGCAGCTTATCCATGGCGCGCAACAAAGACCATAGCATACGGTGTAAGTTTATATATTTACAGAACAATATCTTCTTAGTTTTTTTTTAATTATAAAATAAATAAATACAACCAATAACAACGTAAGCAACCGCCACAGCCTCACCCGTTCCGCCGTTTTTCTTCATCGACCCACTGCAGCTGACCGTCTGTTGTTATTTTTTTTTATAATACAAACTTTAGCGAATTTCTTTGCTGCCTTCCACCGCACTAACCACAAAACACGGGTTAAGTGAGAGCCCTAAGCATCTGTCTGCCTCTGCCCCCGTCCCGCTAGTTTGTGTTTTTGTTATTTATTTATTTAATTAATTATTATTTCATGTTTCTAATTATTAATATAGTTATTATTTCATGTTTCTTTGCTTCATATGTTTGTTGCTGCACACTTATAAACTGAATGAGCTGAAGGCCCTGCGAGGGTTCGTGCGCTGCAGCTCTAGATAAGAAGAAAGGCGATGCCGCCACTCGACCCGCAGCAGCAGCAGCAGCAGCAGCAGCAGCAGACGTAGCAGCAGCAGCAGCAGCAGCAGAACAGATGATGATGAGACAGCACGAGTATAATATAAACTTCTGTCTGACGTCGGTGTTTTCTGTGTTTCTATTTGCATGCATGCTGGCTACTGATACTATAAAATATATATTTAATTAATTGTTTACCTCACTGTAGTTACCTTGCAGCAGCAGCTGCTGCAGCAACAACTGCTGCAT